GAGGGAAACACAGAATCTGAAACAGGCTCCAGGCTCCTAGCTGTCAGCACAGAGCCTGACACGGGGCTCGAACCCACGGACCGCGAGACCATGACCTGAGCCAAAGTCAGACGCTTAACCGAGCCACCCAGGCGCCCCCAGGTTAGTTTTAATGTATAGTTGTGATTCTAACATCAGAAACCTTCACTGCATTCTTACTCATTTTCAAATTATATGGAGATCATTCTGCCTTAAATTGACAGCATATCATACTTTACCTTAATTATCTTTCCAGCTATCTCTCCTGTTGTTTTGTTATAGTAAAGGTTCTCAACCTTTACTGTATATCCTTATCATCTAAGAAGATTATTTTAATACCTGAACTGCAAAGATTCCAGTTCCCAGTAAGATGAGGAAATCAGGAATATGACTGAGCCACCCAGGCATTCCCAGAAAGACTAGAATTTTAAGTAACACTGAAGTGGGGGCAGATTTCCAGTTTTCCTCTGGTGTTCCTTAACCTAGATTAAGACCACTTAAAAATTAGAAGTTGTTGCTGAGGCATGACTAAGAGAGTTCAAAGAAAAGCCTTATATTTTTGGCTTGAGGAAGAGGGAAGGGGACTACTAACACTCAGAAACAGTGAAAGAAATCCCCAGTTTTCTTTTTCTTTTCTCCTTTCTCTTATGGCCCAGTCTGCATACAGTCCTGCAGGGGTAAAAATCACAGCAGCATATGGAGCCCATATGCACCTAAAACTCTGAAAGTAGGAAACCTTCTCTTCTGGAATATAGGACTCAGAAAGTGTAGGGCAACTTGTGTTACATGTTTCTTTTTCTGTCTTTTGTGCTTGACACTGCAGAAAGATGCAGTTGTGTGATATGTACTCCAGAGTTGGGTAACTAAAGCCCTAGCTTTCTGCCAAAGAACCAAAAACAGGAATCCTGGGGAACTAAAAGTTGCAAAGGGAAAATCTAGGGAAAACACCTTATATAAAGTTGTTTATGAATTTTAGATCTCACTCCTGAGTTGAGCATTTAAGGATTTGATCCTAAACAGCATACCCAAGACTGACAACTGAACTAAGAGGTAGACTGGCCCCCAGTTTCCAAGCCAGCCACTCAGTGTCTCCTACACAGAATATTTTAATATCACTGCAAAACTTTAAAAATGGAACTGATACTGAAACTGCAACCACAAAAGACTGACTAGAATTTATAGTTGTTACAACCAGGTTGATTGCCTGCTAAAACAAAAATATTAACATTCTCCATAGGATATAAACATGACCCAGAGTTTTATAGTATTTTTAAATGCCTAGGAAATAATCCAAAATTAGTCAGTATATGAAGAACCAGGAAAATTTTTAACTCTCATAGGAAAAAAAAAGAACAGATGCCATTGCTAGGATGACACGGATGTTGAAATTATCTGACAAGATTCTGAAGCAGGTATATAAAATTGCTTCAGAAAAAAAGGCTGACAAGATGGCAGAAGTAGAGCAGAAGAAGAAGCGCACCTTCCCATAAGTTCTCATACCACGGTGTGGATCTAGACCAGCTGCTGGGCGCGTCTTACAAGCCGTTGATGCAGCTGTATGGGGCTGTGCAGTGGTGGCAGCTGAATGGAAGTTTGCAGAGGAAGCCTCAGAAGGATGCTCTCGCCATGGAGAAGTCCGAGGTGGTTAAGCACCTGTGGAACATGATCGTCCTGCCCAAGGTGGTGGGCAGTGTGGTGGCTGTCTACAATGCCAAGACCTTCAACCAGGTGGAAATTAAGCCCAAGGTGATTGACCACTACCTGGGCAAGTTCTTCACCACCTACAAGCCTTTGAAGCAGGACAGGCCCAGCATCTGGGCCACCTACTTCTCCTGTTTCATCTCTCCCAAGTAGCCTGTTTAGCCAATAAAGACACAGACTTCTCTAGTCAAAAAAAAAAAAAAAAAGAAAAAAGAAAACTCCAGGAACTAAGAGCATACATTCTTGAAAAGAACAGAAATTTAGAAAATCTCAGAGAGAAATAGAAGATAAAAAGAAGGATCAAATGGAAATTTTAGAACTGGAAAAATAGGATAATCAAAATATAAAACTTACTAGATAGGCTCAATAACAGAATGGAGAGGACAGAGGAAGGAGGCAGTCAGTATCAGGTATGAAGGAATAGCAAGAGAAATGGTATCTGGATATATAATAAATTGTTCTCTTGAGTTCTTTAAAATGTTTAATGGCTGAAAGCAAATATTAACATTGTATGGTGGGGTTTTCAATATATGTAAATTTAATACATAACAACATAAAGAAGAATGGAGAAGATGGTAAATTTTTACATTCCACTTGAAGCAGTAAAAAACTTAAGTATGTAGTAATCACTAGAGCAACTACTAAAAACTACAAAGATTTTTTTTTATATACAATAGATAAAATACTAAAAAAAAAAAAAAGAATACAGAAAAGAAATAGAGAAATAGGAAACAAAACAGAAAGCAAATAAAATGGTTGACCTGAATCCAAACATTATGTTAGAGATCTAAATGCACCATTTAAAAAACAGATTGTCGGAATGAATTTAAAAACATTCCATTTTATTACCATGTAAAAGATACTAACTTCAAATATGAATAGATAAGTTACAAGTAGAAGGGTAGAAAAATACCACGCACACTCATAGCTGGAGTGGCTGTACCCTATCAAAGATTTCAGTACAAAGAAAATTATCAAGGATAAAGAACATTACAAAATGATAGACCTTTGAGTTCACCAGGAAGAGAACAATCCTAAATGTATATGCACCGAACCCTCAAAATACATGAATCAAAATCTGACATAACTAAAAGGAAACAACTGAACTGAAAAGTTAAAACTACATTTATAGTTGGAAACTTCAATGCTTTTCTTTTGTAATGGTTGACTAGTAGACAAAACTAGCAAGGATACAAGAACTGAACACCACCATCAACCAACTATCTAATCAACATTTGTGTAACATTCCATTCAACAATAGGGAAAGAAATACATTTTTTTCCCCAAGGGTAGATGGATCATTCACCAGATAGAACATTGACTAGGTCACAAAACAAACCTTAACAAATTTAAAATAACTGAAGTCATACAGAGAGTATTCTCTCATCACAGTTGAATTAAACTACAAATCAATAAAAGAAAAATCAAAGGAACATTTCCAAGCAGTTGAAAGTTAAATAACATATTTGTGAATAATCCATGGGTCAAAAAGGATAAAGTCTCAAGAGAAAAAAAAATGCTGAACAGAAATGAAAATATATCATAATTTGTGGTGTGAGCACAGAAGTTCACAAACAACTTTATATGGTGGTTTTATAGAGCTCAGTTCTGTTGGTTTCCATGGAACTTTCTACATAAACCATGGTACACTCTTAAATGAATGGGCGACTGTGTAATAAAAAGTAAGAACTATCGGTGTGTGTAACAACTTGAATGAATTTTAAAGGCATTATGCCAAGTGAAAAAAGCCAGATCAAATGGTTACATACTGTATGATTCCATTTATATCACATTCTGGAAAGAAAAAACTAAGAAAAGAGATCAGCAATTGCTGGTGATTATAGTGGTGGACAACAACAAAGAGGATGCACTAGGAATTTTTTTCAGTGTAATGGAACAGTTCTGTATCCTAACTGTGATCATGGCTCTACAAATCTGTTTATCCATTAAGATTCATAGAACCATATGCAAAAAGACCATTTACTGTATGTTAACTTAAAAAAAAATATGTTAAGGTGCCTAGACTGCATACTACTAAAATATTTAGATATGGCAAGCTTGGGTTTGGGCTCTCTAGTTTTTTCAAAGCTCTAATCTGCAGCCGTTCCTTTGAAATTTACCATACTATAAATATGAACTACTGTCTATTCCCTAACCTTATGTCCTGTCTCCTCATCTTCATTTCTTTGTCAATACTGTTGCCTCATTTTCAACTGTTATATTTTATCCATCCTTCAAGTTTTCCCTCACATATCAGTCACCTCTTCCCTGTAACCTTTCTTTGTCATCACGTATTCCTGCTACCCACTCAATTGAGATATAATGCTCCTTTTTTTAACATAAAGTAATTCTAATCCTGACTGCACAGCAGAACAATCACCTGAGGAACTTCTGAAAAATGTGAAGTGTTGCCAATGCAAACCTACTAAATTGAAATCGTAAGGGACTGATTTTACGAATCTGTTTACTTGTTTTACTGCCTTATTTGCTTGCTCGTACTTTTTTTTTAAATGTTCATTTAGTTTTGAGAGAGAGAGAGACTAAGTGTGAGCAAGGGAGGGACAGAGATAGAGACACAGAATCTGAAGCAGGCTCCAGGCTCCAAGCTGTCCACACAGAGCCCGATGTGGGGCTCAAACTCAGGAACCACAGGATCATGACCTGAGCTGGAGTAGGACACTTAACCTTGACTGAACCACCCAGGTGCCCTGCTTGCTTGTACTTCTGATCTAAACTCCAATGACTCTGAGTTGCAGCCCAGTTTTGTACTTATCATGCTTATAACCTAGTTAGCAAATAATCACTCTTAAGTTTAGGAGAATATAGATCAGGGACATCTGACTTAGCTTAAGCAGATACTTGAACTAAGATCTGAAGGACAAATAAGAATTATTTAAGCCAAATGTCCATGATAAGTTCATTTGAAATAAAACAGCATATGTAAAAGTGGATAGGAGGAAAACACATTTAGAAATCCTAAAAGAAGGCCAAAATAAGTGGAGTACAGAAAATGAGGGACGAACAGTACGGGATGAGACTAGAGAGACCAGAACAATGAAAGTCATATTAAATGCTTTGGTTTTCATGCTAGGGAATTATAAAAGCAAGTTGCTTTTTTCTTCCTCTGTCACCTATGAAAGCAAGTTTTAAGTAGAATTGGAGTGACATGACTATATTTGCCTTTAAAAATTATCTAGGATAAACTAGAGATGTGTTAATTACAGACTAATTTCTCATTAAATGCATTAAGTATTTTTATTTTTTAATTTTCTTAATGCTTATTTATTCATGAGACAGAGTGTGAACAGGAGAGGGGCAGAGAGAGAGGGAGACACAGAATCTGAAACAGGCTCCAGGCTCTGAGCTGTCAGCACAGAGTCCAACGCGGGGCTCGAACCCACGAACTGTGAGGTCATGACCTGAGCCGAAGTGGGACGCTTAACCAACTGAGCCACCCAGGTGCCCCGCATTAAGTATTTTTATCATGAAAAATAGTCCTAGCAGTTCTACACTTGCAAATTAATGATGTACACAAATGGAAAACAATGTACACAAATGGAAGCTTGAGCCTCCATATCCTTTTAGTTCTCCACTTTAGAACACCTGTAGAATGATTATGTGCAAAAGAGTAGAGCATTCATTAACAATAAGTATTTGTCTTCCTTTTATACATGGAATGAGTGGTATTCTGTAGTCACCTGGTACCCATTCACAAGATCAGATTCACACAGATTTACAAGTAAATTTATTAATACCCTAACTCATCACTTCCTAATTATTTTACTAAATTTTATTATTGTTATATATGCCTTAAGTTCTTCACATCATTTGTGTCTGTATGGTGGAAATTCTGTGTAATTGTGTCCCATCACACATTTCTTATTCCACATTCAGAGACATCATGTTGGTAGCTTGAAATCAGCCACAATAGTTATTTACAATATGGAAATTGGCAAACACTACAAATAAGGACTATTTCAGTGAGAGCTGATTTTAAAAATTTACCAGCATAATAACGCTGCATAGGTTAATTAGATCTTTTCTGGCTGAACTGCCAGCTTAACTGCAATATGTAAAATATATTTGGGAGGGAGGGGAGCAGAAATACATGTACCAGTTTCTAAATATTTACAAATAAACTTTAGAATGTAACTCATTTGTTAAGTTAGATGACAACCTTATATTGACTAACAGTTTTTTTCTCTTTCAGTTTTCATTTCCCTCAATTATATATAAAACATCACATTCTGTAAATTATAATAGAGTGAAAGCAAGAATAATACTTTTAAAAAAAGTTTGTTTTGAGAGAGCCTGTGTGCACTAGTGGGGGAGGGCAGATAGGATGTGAGAGGATCCTAAGCTGACAGCATAGAGCTCTACATGGGGCTTGATCCCATGAATTGTGAGACCATACATGACCTGAGCTGAAACTGAGTTGGACGCTTAACCAACTGAGCCATCCAGGTGCCCCAAGAATAACACTTTTTAATAAGAATTTATAACCTAGAGTATATAGGAACTAAGAGCTCATTTTCCAATATACTTAGCACCAGCAAGGTTTGAGCAACATTGTTGAAAAGTTAGTCATGCTAGAGTCCCCCAGAAGATCAAATCACTGATAGGTGGACTTAGGAAAAAGATGTTGAAAGAAAGACCTGGGATGATTGTTCAGGTTTCATAGAATACAACAAAATAGAAGGTATCTACTCGATATGTAAAATTACACCTTTATATTTTAAGCACTCAAGTAAGTTACTGAGTGGAAATAATAGTATCGTCTTTTCAAACAGTTATCTAGAATGATTCCTTTAGCTGAATAAATCTCATTGATTTAGTGGTATGCATTCAGGAGGTTGTTTTTATTGATTTGAATTTCTGGTTCTTTAACTGGTTTTGGTCTTCCATAGTGCTTTTGCATCTTTTCCAAAGCACAAACCTGGTTTCTGGTCAGATGTAGCAATGGCTGTAGGTTCTCGATCTGCTGAAGAATGCCAGAGGAAATACATGGAAGACCCCAGAGGAAAAGAATCCCAGAAACCTGTCACTAAGAAAAAACCAGTTAATCCCAAAGGCCAAAATGGTAATCTTTATAAATTGTTTTTGCCTAGTTCTCAGTATTGATTTCTGATTAGTCACTAGATGTATTTTATATTTATCTATGTATCATCTTATAGGTGTTTTCTCAAAATGTTAAAGCTAGAAAGAACTATAAAGGTCATTATTTAATTTTTAAGTCTTATCTAGACAGTTACTTCTATCAGTAGTAGCCTTAGCAGCCTTGTGCTTTGAGTTTGTTCTAGGAAACTAGATGCAGTTAGATATGCAGTTAGATCCAAAGATTCCAATATCTGGATTATTGTTCAAAGAGTCTATTGTAATCTGAGGCCACTTGGGAAAGACCTTCTAGAAATTCATAATAAAATTCAAAATAAATTTAGTTTTTGTACTCCCCAGGAGTACGCATTCCTGCTCAGGGTTTATGACAGGGCTTGTACTAAGCTTTAGAGCATATCCTGTCCCTACCCTAATCCAGTAAGGTTTATATTTTTGCAAAATCAATAAATTAGGCATTCAGCAAGGGGAATATGGGAGGTAACCTTTCTCACAGGGTATAGAACTTTTTCACCTCACACTGGCTAATCTTATGTAGTTTCTTCATGAGTATCTTGTGGGCTAGTCATACTGCATAGATCCCAGTATAGAAAAAAAATCATTTGCTATATAGGAGATTTACTAATAGTAGATGAGTATACTTAATACAGATAAACAGTTTAGGTTTTGTAAAGTCTGTTAACTTTAAAGCACTTACTATAAATGAATCCTTATCAAAATGTTTGCTAACTCTTAAGGCAAAATAGGTGATGCTGATAAGAAGCAAATGATTAAGATAACTGCCAAAGTGGGAACTCTTAAAAGGAAGCAGCAAATGAGGAATTTTCTGGAACAGTTGCCAAAAGATGATCATGATGATTTTTTCAGTACAACACCTTTGCAGAACCAGAGAGTAGTGGTAAGAGTCTTAAATGCATGAAATAATTGCTCTCTTTATATTGACTTATACATCTTTCATTTTTATATATGGTTAGTGTTCATCCCTAGTATTTAGGCCAAGGATTGATAGCCTATACAGACATCACCCAAAATGTACTGTAGGAAGCAGTCTGCCAGTACATGCTGTTCTCATCAGTGTAATGGTTGTAGAGCCAAATTGAAAACCCAGAAATAGGCTAAACGTCTATATTTAAAATTTCGTATGTAATGAGGCAAATTTAAAAAGGTGATGGGGCACCTGGGTGGCTCAGTCAGTTAAGCATCTGACCCTTGATCTCAGCTCAGTTAAGCATCTGACCCTTGATCTCAGCTCAGGTCTTGATCTCAGGGTCATGATTTCAAGCTCCACATTGGGCTTGGCACTGGGCATGAAGCCTACTTAAAAACAAAAAAAAAGGTGGTAAGAAAAGATTATTACCTACTCTATAGTAAATTCAATGGAAGGATTAGATGACAGCACGAAGTTGACATTTGAATGTATGAAATAATTTTTGTAGTATGAAAATCATACAACTAAAAACTTCAATTGGGGAAAAATATTTACAACAAATAAAGAATGCTTATAATATGAAGAACTCATTCAGATGTTACTGGAATACTAAAAATTGTCAAGATCACGGGAAAAGTGGGCAAGAAAATATTTTAAAGGCTGAATGAATACTTGGAAAAGTGGTTAGTTATACTGGCTAGCAATTGGAGGAAAACAAAGTAAATCACATGCATATATTCTAAATTACAGAATCTTTTACAAAAAAGTTAAAATTTCCATAACAAAAAGCAGTGGAAACTTTGAAATAGTCATACATCAGTGGATGTATAAGTGAATCATACCTTTTGTAAAGCATCATGGCAATATTTGAGAGCCATAAGATTAATTCTGTTCATGGAAATTTATCCTAAGAAGCCAAAAGAAGCCAAAAATCTCCACAGAGACCTTCATTGCAGGTTTATCTTTACAGCAAAAAACTGGAAGCAGCCTATATCCAATAAGGATGTTCTTCATAAACGGTCAAATACAATATAAAGTACAAATTTGAGACTATTTCTAGAATATAAATATAAATGTTAAGAATATTAAGGTTAATGCAAAAATGGATAGATATAGACAACTGATAGAAGTATAAAATCTTTTAGTGAGCTAACCTTCAGGGATAATTTTTTAATTTACTCATTTAATATATTTTTTTAACTTTATTTATTTTGAGAGAGAGCGAGCAAGCACACAGGGGCAAGGGAGGGGCAGAGAGAGAGAATCCCAAGCAGGCTCTGTGCTGGCAGGTGAAGCCCAATGCAAGGACTTGATCCCACAAACTGTGAGATTATGACCTGAGCTGAAATTAAGGATTGGATGCTTAATGAACTGAGCCACCCAGGTGCCCCTCATTTCTTAATATTGTTACATTATCTCCAATATTAAAAGGCTACACAAATGCTTTAAGAATTTAGTAACATCATTATCTAGGCTCCTTTTGCCTACACAGGTTGTAAAGGGAGATCTCTAAAGGAGCCAGCTGAGTCTCTTACTGTGTTCCCTGCATAACAACCATGGTCCTTAAGAGGTTATATCCTTTATATAATTCTACCATCATTTCAGGTTTTATATATGTTTTGGCTTAAATGCAATAGTAGCGACATTTTAAAAACAAAAATAATAAAACGTAGAAAGCAGTGAAGTAAGTTCATTTTCTGTGGGATAAATCCGCTTTTTCTAATGTTTTGATGTAAACTTAGATAAAATCTTAATGATTGAATTGCTGTTTACTAGAAATATATATACACAAAAGTTTAATACTTGCTTGAGTTCCCATAACATTCAGTGAATTAATTCTGTTTTGTTCTGATTACACAAAGGTAAGCAAACCATGACCCATGGATCAAATCCGGTGGACCACATTTTCTATAAACAAAATTTTATTGGCACATAGACATGCTCACTGTTTACATAGCTATGTCTGATTTCATGCTACAACAGCAGAGTTTAATATTTGGGACAGAGACTGTATGCACCACAAAGCTTAAAATATATACTAATTCATTACAGAAAACATTTGCTGACATTGGTCTTTTCACAACTTTGTCATTGTCTCCATTTAACACAATAGAAAATAAGGTTTTTTTAGAGGTTAAGGTTCTGTTCTATCCCACCCAAAAATATTTAGTGATAATGAGAAATCCCATTCTTAGGGGAGCCTGCTGGCTAGTAAGGAATATTTGTTTTTTAGTTGCCAAGTCTCCAGGACAGTGCAGAAGAGGATGATATTCTGCCCAGTATGGACAAAAATCCAACAACTCCATCATCAGTTGTCTTTCCATTGGCAAAAACTCCTCAGTGTCAGCATGTCAGTCCTGGCATGCTAGCCTCTATAAATAGGTAAATATGCATATGATACTGTAATCTCTGCATCAGCATTTGGCATTTCATGAGTTGAAGAGAGTAGATGTCAATAATGAGAAGAGGCATCATTAAAAAGGAAATCAAGAAAGGATAGTTTCTAGAAGTAAAGGATGGACAGTTTCAACAAGTAGGGGTGTGGTTCAGTAGTGTAGGGACACACACAGCTCACACTTTACCTCAGGATAATTCCAAATGGATCAAAGTTTTGCATGTAACAAATTTAACTATAAAATATACCTAAAGAAACCTTGGAGGATTATCTTATCATTGTAGATTAGTGAAAGTCTTTTCTAACTATGATGCAAGACTCAGAAAACACTAACAAAACAAATGGTAAAGTCAACCAAATAAAAAGTTTTACCCCATACCAACCACCCTAAGCAATCAAAAGGTCAACAGTAATCTGAGAAAAGAATATATGGAACCCGTCAAAGGAAAAGGCTAATTTTCCTAATATAGCACTCCTACAAATTAAGAGGAAAAGAAAGCCATTCTCATGCATTACTAGTGAGGAGAAGGTAAATTAGTACAGTCTCTGCAGACAGCAATTTGTAAATATCTATCAAAATTGTAAATACAGTCTTTAACCTATCCATCGTGCTTTTAGAATAGTGAATGTACAGCTTTTTAGGGTATTGTTTATAATAGCAAAAGTCTGGAAACAATTCGAATCCTCACCACTGGGACTAATCACAAAAATTGGGTATATTATATAGCCATAGAAATTAATGAGGAAATTATTATTACGGAAAAATGTTCACGATTTATTAAATGAAAAAAGGTAGATACCGTGAATTACATGTTATCATTTGTGTAAATAAGAGCTGTGTATTTATGTATGTATATGTATATACTTGCATATATATGTGTATATACACAGAATTGCTTTCCTTTGATGAAATATCTCTTATAGAATACATAAATTGAAAATGGGTGATCCCTACAAAGAGAAACTAAGATAGCTTGGAGACTAGAAAAGAGGGAAGCTTTTTGAATTTTGAACTATGTGAATATAGAAGCACTTAAAATATAAATAAAATTAAGAAAAATCAGGGGTGGCCAGCAGTTGAATGACACAGAGAAAAAATGGAAAGTAATAAAAATGAGGCCTGAAAATAAGCCATTCTATCTGGCAATCAAGCAGGACAATGCTGTTTTTAGTAAGAGTAATTTCCATGGGGTATGAGGCAAAAGCCAATAATAATGACTGTGAAAAAAGTATTCATTCATCTCCTGAAGCTTGGTGAAATTTTAATTTGCATTTATTTATTAAAAACATAATTTTTCCCCAGCAATCCATAAATTATTTTTGTTTATTTTTTATTTAGTATTCATTGCAGGTGAAAGTATTCAGAGTATAATTTTGGACAAAGCTTTTGGTAAGCACGTTGGCCAAATCATGAAAAGCTTTAAAATACTCATCTCTTTGGCTCTTGGGTTTTGTGAGTCAATTCTGAGGAAATATATTTGGGCAAGTATGTATGTAAATTTGTATGAACAAAGATGTTCATCATGAAACATAATACTGAAAATATAAAAATGACCTAAATGTCCAATAAGTTAAGAAATTAGGATTTATCCACATAATAGAATAATAAGTAATAATTAAAAACCATGCCTTCAAGAATTTTTAATGACAAAGAATAGTGTTCAGTAGACAATAGTTTTTTTTAATTTTTTTTTTTTAATGTTTATTCATTTCTGAGACAGGGAGAGACAGAGCATGAGTGGGGGAGGGGCAGAGGGGAAGGAAGACACAGAATCGGAAGCAGGCTCCAGGCTCCGAGCTGTCAGCACAGAGCCTGACACGGGGCTCGAACTCACAGACCGCGAGATCATGACCTGAGCTGAAGTCAGACACTCAACTGACTGAGCCACCCAGGCGCCCCGACAATAGTTTTTAAAAGCTAAGAAGTTAAATTATATACAATATGATTCCAATTCACAACAGCATGTATTCAGAAAGGAAATTTCTTGACTAAAAACATCACCAGCTGTTATCTAGGTTATTGAATTACATTTAAGTGAGTTTTGGTGTATCACTTTTACAATTACAGGAATACGTTCTTTTTTAAGACTACATAGTATACATAGACTCATTTATATCATGAATATATTTACTAACACTTTATTTTAAAAAATGTCTCCTAGGCCTCTACACTATCTCTTGACTCACCAGCTCGAATAGATTACTTCCTTTTTATAACAATTTTAAATAATGAAACAGTTTTTATCACTTCAGAAGTGACTTCTGACAACAGAGTCATGAGGTACTGATCCTGAACAGCTGGCTAGGCTTCTTACTAACTACGCAGCATTGTTTGTGGTTCACATTAATATCTTAATACAATCACACATTTAGAAATTTCTACGTGTCATACCTTTAAGGTTGCTCCTAAATCGTCATAAAAGAAAAGATCATTGATCAAAAAGGATCTTGGAGCCAAGAGAGAGAATCAGAAGTGTTGTTCAACTGCAATTTACTGTCATAAGCAGCACTAGAAATTGCAGGGAGAAATGAAATAGCCATTCTGTTTGGCTTCAATTTGTAACTCTACTTGGGTCAAGCCTGTTTGCTAAGAATGAGAGGGGAAAGAAAGTAAAAAGAAATGAAAAAAAATTTCATAGTTGGTGTGGAGCATATAAACAAGATGTAACTACGTAGAAATAAAAGACTTGTGAACTGAATTGAAGACTGAATTGAGAGTTTTCATCACCAGGTATATCCTTAAAATGGTTACCTGTGAGATTCAATGTGATGGGGAAGAAAGTGAACAGGAGAAAGGAGTGAGAGGTCTAATAAAAGGGAGTCCAGGGACAAGAAGTCTCTGGATTCTGGAAAAGAGAGGCAGCAAGATAGTGGTTGGAAAGGGCACAAATGGGACAATGAACAGTAAGCAAAACCATAATTTCCTAGAATACTCATATTCAGTGTTTCCTTTTAAATGTTTGGTTGAAGCATTTTGTCCATTTCTATCAGTACACCATGGTCTTTTTAAAAATGGAAAAGAAAAATATACTTTTGTTGTAGTTTTATTTAAATTCCAGTTAACATAAAGTAATACTAGTTTCAGGTGTATGATATAGTGATTCAGCACTTTTGTATTATCAGTGCTCATCACAGCAAGTGCCCTCCTTAAAACCCACCACCTGTTTCACCCATCCCCCTACAGCTCTCCTCTGGTAACCATCAGTTCTTTATAGTTGAGAGTCTGTTTCTTGGCTTGCCTCTTTTTGTTTCCCTTTGCTCGTTTCTTAAATTCCACATGAATTAAATCATATGGTATTTGTCTTTCTCTGACCTATTTTGCTTAACATTATACTCTCTAGCTCCATCCATGTCATTGTAAGATTTCATTCTTTTTGATGGCTAATATTCCATTGTATATGTATACCACATCTTTATCCATTCATCAGATGGACATTTGGGCTGTTTCCATAATTTGGCGATTGTAGATAGTGTTGCTCTTAACATCGGGGTGCATGTATCCCTTTGAATTAGTTTTTTTTGTGTTCTTTGGTTAAATAGCTAGTAGTACAATTGCTGGATCATAAGATAGTTCAAGTTTTAACTTTTTGAGGAGGCTCTTGTTTTCGAGAATGGCTGCACCAATTTGCATTCCCACTAAAAGTGCAAGATTCCCCCCTTTCTACATCCTAACACCTGTTGTTTCATGTGTTGCTGATTTTAGCCATTTTCTTTTTCTTTTTTTAAAGTGTATTTATTTTGAGAGAGAGATGAGGACAAGGGCAGAGATGGAGAGAGAGAATCTCAGGCTCCGGGCTGTCAGCACAGAGCCCAACTCAGGGCTTGAACTCATGAAGCACGAGACCATGACCTGAGCCAAAGTCAGACACCTGACTGAGCCACCCAGACACCCCTGATTTTAGCCTGATAGGTGTAAGATGCTGTCTCATTGTAGTTTTGATTTGTATTTCCTGGATGAGTGATGTTGAGCAGCTTTTCATGTGTCTGTTGGCTATCTGGATGTCTTCTTTGGAAAAAATGTCTATTTCTTTTGCCCATTTTTCAATTGGATTGTTTTTTGGGTGTTGAGTTTTATAAGTTCTTTATATATTTTGGATACTAAACCTTTGTTGGATATGGCATTTGCAAATATCTTCTCCAATTCCATAGGTTGCCTTTTAGTTTTGTTGATGGTTTCCTTTGCCGTACAGAAGCTATCTACTTTGCCAGGGGCGGGGGCGGGGAGGGGGAAGCTATTTACTTTGATATAGTCCCAATAGTTTATTTTTGCTTTTGTTTCTCAGAAAATATACTTTTTAGAAAAGCTTGGGAGGGGTGCCTGGGTGGTTCAGTCAGTTAAGCGTCCGACTTTGGCTCAGGTCATGATCTCGCAGTTCAAGAGTTCGAGCCCCACGTTGGGCTCTGTGCTGACAGCGCGGAACCGGGAGCCTATTTCAGATTCTGTGTCTCCCTCTCTCTCTGCCCCCTCCCCCACTCATGCTCTGTTTCTGTCTCTCAAAAATGAATAAATGCTAAAAAAATTTTTTAAAGCTTGGAACACATTTTGTCAACTGCTGTTCAACCTGTGAATAGAAATATGATAATGTTGACAAAATTATTTTGTATTCAAACAGGGATGACTGTGATAAATATGTTTTTCGTATGCAAAAAGAACATAAAAGTAAAGGTGGCATTGTCTGGGGCAATATCAAGAAAAAAACAGTAAGTATTTATTCATTTATTCATCACATCTGTTGATATATTGATAGATGGCAAATTGTGGAGTTTTAAGTTATATAAGTCCTTGCTCTCAAAGTAGTTAATCTTAGAGAAATATAATTTATGGAGGTAAAAATGTTGAAGACCACCTTTTCTCCTGATTGTATATTCCTTCTGATCAGGTTATGGCAATTTCTTCCTCCCTCGCCCATGTTGAAATACTGTTAGTGTAGCATGCATGCAGTATAATTCTTCTCAGAGTTTCTAAACTAAACACTGGCATTACATAATCACATCCAATCTTTATGGGTTTCATTTGTCCATAGGAAATGGTAGACACTTCTGGGCAGTTTGGTTTAAAATCATCCTGGAGACTAAATTCTTCAAAAGAAATCTCTAAAATTGAAGGTGTAGACAGATTCCATGTTTCTTAGATTCTCTTTTTCCAGTCTCACATTCCTTATGAGAATGAAATTTTGGTTTGTTGCAGAGGACCTGGAATCAACATAGTAAGAAAGACTTGTTTGGCTTCTAGTTCCTATTTTGCCAGTGTGAAGTTAGGCTGCATTGACAGTTGTTTCACAAGCTTTAATGTGCATAGAAGTCCCTTATGGATCTTGTTAAACACCAGATTCTGATCCAGCAGATTTGAGATTTCTGCATTTCTCACCAAATCCAGGTGTCTATGTTGCTGATCCATGGACCATACTGAGTGGTAGCAAGATCCTAATCCATTCAGTCTGTTCTGTCTGCATAATGATGAAAAGTTCATATGGATAGATCTATAAGGACTATTCCTATTAATAATTTTTATTTCTCTGCATTTCTGACATCATCCTAAGCACTACTGGGCCTTTGTTTTTCTTAATGGGTCATAATTTGAGTAGCCTACCAAACTATGGTATCTTTGTGATTTAGTCCTATTTTTTCATTACTATTTTAGTCAATGCATGAGGATAGAAAGAGCAAAGGATTTAGTGTCAAAAAATTTTTATTTCAAGATCTGACTGACCATACAGCTTTATAATAAGCTACTTGAACTTTCTAATCTCGTTTTGTTCATATATGAGTAAAATGTACCATCAGTGTGGGAATCATATTGATTTAATGTCACTGAATGATCTTGAGAGCTAAATGATATAATAGTGTTTTGACTCATTTCAAAGTACATTTACGTCACAATCTGAACACGAGTGTATCTTGAAAGTTTCAACAATATTTACTCTTAATACAGTGAATATGCCCTGTCATTTTCTATTCTATTCCTTTTCATTTTTAAAGATAGCCAGCCATGGCCAACAGTTTAGAAGCACTGATGTAGTAAGTCTCCATTATACACTTAAAACTTGTCTATCAACAATTTAAGTTTTGCTAGTGTCATGGAATGGAATGAGTACCTAGATTTTGACAACTGTCAGAGGCCCATAGACTATCTTGTAACCTCTATAGCATTAGCATTAGTTTGTAATATTTTCTTACAGTTTGCCAGCAGTGGGAAATAACATTGAAGAAGTATTCTTTCTCTGGATAAATTCAACTTAAAGGAGAATTAGATGTTTCACAGATACTTATGTGATTAGGTATTGTTATAGGCACGTGTTCGAGGTACTCAGGGGATGAAGCAAGCTTATTCTGTCTATGTTTGAGGCAGAATTCACAGGAGGTACTATTTAGCTATTAACATGAACTCTCTTACAGGTTGAAACTGAGTTTTCAACTCCAACATCAAGGAAAAAAACTCTGTATAACAAAGGTAATTTATTTGTATCTTTCTTTGGTAGCTCAGTTCTATTGTAAGATAGTCTCTTTATTCACATGTTACTAAAATTAGCTGCTTGCAGGTGGGCAGACCTATTCAGTTTCTCATTATTTTCAATTTCATTGAAATTACTTTTAGAAGTATATTAATCTTTTTTATTAAATTTCTCTTTACAGAATTAGGAGAACACTCTGGTATTGGAAAACTTTTCACCAATGCTATGGAGTCTTTAGATGAAGAAGAGAAAGATTATTATTTTTCAAACTCTGATTCTGCATAGTATAAATGAGAAAATATTTCCAGGATTTTTGTCAAGAAGCAGACAGTGTATTTATATCTTTTTTTGGAATACATATTATTTTCCTTATAATGTGCCTTCATATGAAATTGTGGATTCCTTCTCAAAGGTTTTAGGTGTTTGTATTCAGAGTAAAACATCCTTCTGTAGAATGCTGTTCATTGATATAGGTTACTAAAATATAAGGAAAATTGTTTTGCTTGTATACATACTTGTATATTTCTGTTTTTTGAACATTAAAATATTCTAGATAAGTCTCTCTTAAGCATCTGTTTAGGACATGATTTTCTTAAACAGATTTTTTTAAAAAGCTTCCAAGAAAATGTTGCTACCCTTAAGGGGTAGGGGAGGGGAAATAAAAAGTAGACTGTATTGCTGGCTACAAATTCATGACAACTGTATTAGCATTTGTTACCACTTGATTATCATTGGCACAGCTATGAAACCTATGTAAATTTAGTACTTTTATTAGGTAGAATCAGAGAATAAATTTTGTCACATTAAGCCTTATTTACATATGCAGACATTCATAGTTTACATTTGGCCTTAGTATTAAAAAGACTGGATTAGACGTTCACGTAATTGATCTACCATTATAGTCAAGTTAATATGCCATGTCATAATAAAACATTATTTTCCTCCTTTCAGACAGCTCCTTTGGAAATAAACTTTTTTTAGCTTATTCTGTCATTCTGTTTTAAAATTTGACAGAATATTTCTCCTCTGGTTACAGTATATATTCACTTACCCTTTCTCTCCAGTTAGATTGTTCAAATAAATTTTGCTTTTAGAACATTTGGATTTGTATTTTGCTGGATCATTGAAATTAAACAGATAGGCATTTTGTTATTGGTTCAGCTTGTTTCTTCAAAAAAATGCCAGAATTTTTAGTAAAACAATTTTTTTTTAAGAATTTAGTCAGTTTATAAAACTATAGGATTTATAGAAACATAAGATTTTACAAGAATATTACAGTTAGACTGAGATCATAATTGTTTCTGCCACAAAGACTTTTAGATGTCTTTGTGGATGGATGGAACAAATGAGGGATTATTTCAGAGTGAAATACTGTTGTAGAACTTAAGTTGCCAGTATTTGGTATGATACCATGCTGCTTATTAATGTTAATGGATAATGTTAACATTAACTCCTTTTAAGGAGTTAGAAGGTAGTTATATTAAGAAACAAAGGGATAATTTTGATGCAGCACAGACTTAATACAAACCAAAGAGTGTGGCCCTCCCTCCCCCAAATTCCCTGTGTCCTATTGGAGCTGCTTCAATGTCCTTCCTAGTCAGTTTTATTGTATCCCACCTGCCAGGTACCTGGTTAGTCCCATCAGATCATAAGTTATGCTAGGAAGGGTTAAAGTAACCTCCAAAGGACACTTAAAAGTGCGCTTAAAGATTAATCAACAGGGCTGAAAGTTCAGTGCTACCAGTAAGAGTATGAAGGCTATTGCAGCTTAAATATGGATAAATCTCTGTACACAGCAAGCATAAGTGAAATCCTCTAGGTTATGTCCCTCATACCATGTTAACATATTTTGTCTGATGGGTGGACACAAAGAATTTGAGCACACTGTTGTCTGCATGGGAGATGCTGCAAGGTGGTCATCTGCCCAAGTCAATGTGAATTTGCTGAGGTAAGGCAGAGAACCACCAAATGTCTCCACCCACATGCACCGCTAACCCCATGTAAGAGGAACAAGAAGCAGCAAAACAACATACTGGAACAAGAAAGAAGCCCCTTTCTTCCTTCTACTGACAAAGCTTAAATCATGCTCACTGTAGGGAGAAATATTCAAAAAGTCCAGTCCATTATAGCAAAGCAAGATACTAAAGGGTAAATTTGAGCCTGAGAGATAAATAAATCAATAGCTGCACATCAGCCAACAACTTCTAGAACTTCTTTTCTCTCTGGCTTTGAATTATTGAATAGCAGAACTATGAAATCTGCTAGTCTCAGAAAAGAATTTATACTACCCCAAGGAAGCTATGTTTACAATTAGAATAACTTTTTAGTGAAAAATAATTGTATCTAGTTCCTGGGTTCTGGTTCTGGATTTCCCAGTAAACTTGAGTAAGTCACTTGTTTGTGGGCCTCACTTCAATCACCTGATAAGAAAAAAAGCAATTTGATTTAGATGAGCTCTGAAGCCCCTGCCAAGTCTAAGGC